CCCCCCCCCAATTAACCAATTACCCCCTTTCAGATACTAATTAACCCCCCCGCGCTAATTAACTCCCTTAATTAGCGTTAATTGCGCACCACGTGCACGGCCTGGAGCCGCTCCCGGAGCCGCTCCCGGAGCTGCTCCGCGCTGGGCGCCGCCATTTCCGCTTCCGGGCGCGTCACTTCCGGGCGCGGCGCTTCCTGGTGCGGCGCTTCCGGGAGGAGGCGGAAGTAGCTCCCGCCTCAAAATATATATAAAATAAACCCAGGAAATTGTTATAAATCCGTGAAATATAAAGGTGTGGGTGTGAGTTTATATAAATATATTATTTATTGTGTAGAAAATATGTTATTTTCATTTTTTATTTATATATTTTTATTTATACACGCTTATATATATTTATTTTTATTTTCCATACTTGTTTTTATTTTATTTGAATTTATTTTTATTTTCTAGGCTTGCGTTTATTTTGTTTTATTTTATTCTACTTCTGTTTATTTTCATTTTCCATACTTGTACTTATTTTATTTTATTTTAATCCATTTTTATTTTCCACGCTTGTATTTATTTTGTTTTATTTTATTTTACTTCTGTTTATTTTTGTTTTCCATACTTGTACTTATTTTATTTTTATTTTCTATGCTTGTATTTATTTTATTTTATTTTACTTCTGCTTATTTTTATTTTCCATACCTGTATTTACTTTGTTTTATTTTAATTTATTTTTATTTTGTACGATTGTATTTATTCTGTTTTATTTCATTTTACTTCTGCTTATTTTTATTTTCCATACACGCACAAAAACGTGGAAAATAAGAATACACGGAAATACACAAATAGCATAAATATATATAAGAAACAAATATCTTTATTATATATATTAATTATTAATTACTAAATTAATTATTAAATTAATTATAAAACTAACAATTACAAGTATATAAAAATAATAATTAATAATTAATAATTAATAACAATAAATAACAACAATAAATAATAATAATGAACACTTATTATCAAATAATAAATAATAATAAACACTTAAATGCACGTAAATATCACAAATGCATTTAAATATATAGAAAACAAATAAACATATTAATATATAAATATGTGAAATAAACACAAATATCCCCCTTCCCCTCCCCCCTTCCTCCCCCTCCCCCCCTCGCGGTGCATTGTGGGTCCTCCCCAGGTGCGGCCCCGCCCTTGTTTTTTCTCCCCAGGTGAGTTCCGGCCCCGCCCCCTTTTCCCAGTCCGTGCCCAGTTCGTTCCCAGTCCGGACCCAGTTTGGGGACGGGGGGAGGGGTCTCGGCGTTGCCATGGCGACCTTTTTGGGCGTGGCCTTGGCGGGGGTCGCGCTGGGGGGCGTGGCCTGGGTGGGCGTGGCGCTGACCCGGGGTGGGGGGAGGGGGGAAAAGGGGAAGGGGGGTCCAGGATCGGGCCCCAAATTGGGGTTCAGGGCCCGGAACGTGGCGCATCGGGGAGGTGAGAGGGGATTGGGAGGGACTGGGAGGGACTGGGAGGGACTGGGAGGGGATTGGGGGGCACTGGGAGTAACTGGGAGGGCACTGGGAGGGATCCGGATTTTGGGGGGGGGAGGGAGAGGGAAGACCCCCAAATTTGGGGGATGGGAAGGGAGGGGGAGGGGCCTTTTAGGGGGACCCGGATGTTGGGGGG